TGGATGGGCAGGTACATTAGCACAGATGTGGGTGTCACGGATATGGAGGTCGTGGCATCATCTCACTGAAAAGAGTCCCCGAACAAAAGTCTCCAGCAATTTAATGGATCTGAGAACCAGGGGAAATGTGGAAAAGTACTGAGTACAGATAACAGTGGGAAAAGAAGGCCCCTGTAGGCCTCTGCACTGGCTCTGCACCTAGTCCGGTGTGAGAAGGGCAGTTTCTCTGTGAGTCCTGCCAGGCCAACCCTTTGTAATTAACTGCCTATGAGTTGGTCCTCAAAAATTAACATTTAGGCTTTTAAATACAAGCCTGACACCTCACTCAGGTAAGTTTGCTGGGTTAGCAGCTTTTAAAAATATAATTTTATGAAAGGTAGTAACTTTTTTTCTTCCTCTAAATACTCAAATGACGAAGGGTCAGGTGGTGGTGCAGTGGTAATGTATCTAGACCCACATAAGAAAGGTCCTGGATTTATTTCCTGGGATCTCCCTGAGCACCTCAGGTGCAACTGCACATGCCTGTGATCTGGGCAGGCTGAGACTGATGGATCCAGCATGAAGACCTTGCTGAGAGGAGGGTGATTGCTCTCTCTCTCTCTGAAGAAATAAATAACATTTTAAAAAATAATAATTGAATGATGAAAGGCCTTTACTTGTGGTTTTGGTACAGGGTAGATTTTGACAGTGCCTGGTCCTATGGTTTTATTAACCACCTTAAGCACTTTAGATCAAAATAATTACGTGTCGTTAAAAAAAAAATTGAGGGGTATTTCATTTCCAGCATTTTTTTCTTTTTTTAGAGAGAGAATTTTTCTTTTGCTATATGATGTATGTGCTTGTCAGAGAGACAGAGAGATACAGAGAAAGTGAGAAATCACCCCCTAGAGCAGATGACCACAGTAAATACCTTTCTCAGTCTTCTCTTAGAATTTTGGGCATGCACACACACACACTTCTAGGACTTGAACTACAGTCAGCTATATGGTACTCCAGTGCCTTAACCACTATGCCACCTGCTGGCCCCTCACTTCTAGCATTTTAAATGTATTATTTTTTAAATTATAGGACCATGAAAACCTAAGTATTTTATCATTATAGAATGGTCCATTTTTATGATGGAAGATTTTTACAATGATCATTTGCTTTTTTGTTTTATTTCTACTTACAGAAAATTTGAAAATATCTACATAGGCTGGGGTCATAAATACAGCCTAGACAATTACACACCCCCAGTTCCACCAGCAGTTTATCAAGAATACCCTAGTGGACCAGAAATTACGGAAATAGATGACCCCAGTGTGGAAGAGGAGCGAGCTTTCAGGGCTGCACAAGAAGCTGTTGTACTTGCAGCTGAGAATGAAGAAACTGAGGAAGATGAAGATGAGGAAGATGATTATGACTAATAAAATAAGCCCTGCTTATGTGGCACTGATACACATATACTCCTTATGTGGGACTGAATATACGTGTGTGTGTGTGTGTGTATACTATATATATATATATATATATATATATATATATATATATAATATATACATGTACACACACATGTAAGTTGGAAACTATTCATGTACAAAATGTCATTCATTGAAAATATCAAACTTGGAATTTCATGTGTAGAGCTATTAATGTATTTATAGAAAGATGCTCAATGGTGGGCTGGTCCTATAACCCACTGGTAAAGGAAACCAGATCCCACATGGATGACTACTGTTCAAATCCCAGACCTGGTGCCTGAAAAACATGCCAACACACCAAAGACATGTGGATGTGTGCCTAAAATTCCAACAGAAGGGAGAAATGGAGAAGAGGTTATGGTGTGACCATGCTCCTATTGGAGGTGCTTTCCTGCTTTCTCCCTCCCGTTCCCTCCAGCAGATGATGAGCTCTCTGGCAATAAAAAAATAAACAAAAATAAAAAGTTCTGGATTTTCCAGAGTGAGCACATCACTGTGCTGATGACTATGACTAATGGAACATGTGCTGATGTATTCTTGCTTTAAAAAGGTCTCAGGTTTAACTTATAATATAGCAAGCATTGAAAGGTATAACCAACAAGAGCTTATTAGAAATGTCAGTATATTTTTAGCCTCAAATACAAAACCCAAAAATATTGATATTCACTGAACTAGAGTATGTATACTTAACCATTCTAAGAACTAAACTGGGCAAGTATTCTTAAGTCTTTATAATTGCCTTCAGTGAAGCCGGTGATATTGTATAGAGATACTGTGTAGGTGTTTAATATTCATTTTTTTCCAGTGGGGAGAATGTTCATAATCTTGCTGAAAGACTGCAGGAACACTCAAATTTTTAATGTATTTGTTACTTTTCAAAAAACTCTTTTTGAGTTTTCATTCTGTAGAAATTGACTTGAACTGACAGGCAAAATGATCTTCACAGATATGATTAGTTTGGATATCCAGACTTCCGAATTGTATTTTCTACATCTGCTTCTCTAAAATATTATTTTCATTCACTAAAAAAGGATTTTTAAGCTAAGAATGGAAACTAAGGCCTGTTCCTGAAATTATAGATCTTTCATTGAAGAGAGGAATATGAAAAGATGAAAGGAAAATTAGAATAGATTGTAAGTTAGCAAGTGTGGTGATATAAACATTACAGAGGACCATAAAACAATGCTTTATCAAATCCTGTAGTAAAGAACCATTTTTTTTTCTAAAAAAAGACTCCAATACATTGCCTTTTATGAAATAAAATGCCGTAATTCTCAATTTTTGTACTTACCTTGTCACAGACCAGTAATCTGTGGATAGATCTGCATTGATCTATACTTGAGTAATACTGTTGCTAAGTATTTGGAAGATGCACTTAATCCAGACTTGAGCAGGTCAGGGAGCTGTTCTAAAAGCCACCAGGTGAAGTGCTATTCGGGAAGGGTTCTAAGGAATACCTACTGCATTTGGCAAAGGCCTTTTTGCTGGAAGGAGTAAAACTTTGAAATGAGTGGTACGAGATGAGCCTAAGGAAGAGTCTGGATTTTATCCATAAGCAATAAAGAGGTTAAACCAGAAAGTCACACAGACACATTTTAGAATATATTTTATTTTAGATTAATTTAATTTTGTTATTATCATTTTTAATTTGACCAGAGAGGAAAAAAAGAGAGAAAGCGAACTGTCAGGTCCAGGACTCAGAGTCAGCCATATGGGAGTACAACACCTTAACCACCATGTCACCTGCCTGCCCCAGAATAGATTTTATTATACAATGGTCTGTCTTCATGTGGAAGATGGATGACAGAGAATCAAGACTTGAGAAAGGAAGATCAGTTAGGTTATCATGTTACATGGTAAGAGATAATCACGGTATGAGAACAGGTTAACTGCATAAGGATATAAAGTGGAAAACTGGTTAGTATAAGGGACAGAATTATTCTGGAAACTATCCAGAATCTTCCAGTTGGCGTACTATTTTGTTTTTTAAGTGCAACTCTGTCTATTGGAGTATCTAAAATGCATAAAACTTCAAATAAGTTCTTGTTGATCTTCTCATGGTATAGTAGACATTTGCTTGTTTTTTTTTTTTTTCGTTAATATTCATTTTATCATCTACCCTGATTTCGTTTTGAAGAATTGTCTTTGTTACATTAGTCTCATACCAATCAGATATGCACACTCTGGAATCTGGATTGTGGGTAGAAACATTTGACTGTGCTTCCTAACAAGATCATTCCTGCCATAAAATGATAAAATGGACCAGTGTAGGCTCGGAGTTGCTTTAGCCTAGTAATCTCAAGCTACCCATGGACTCTGTGAGCTTCTGAAAAATCTTGCAATGAATTCCCTTCTGCTTATGTTAACTTAAGTAAGGATTCTTGCTTGCAACTAATCTGAGTGTCTTTCCTATGAGACACATTCAAGACAAGATTGTAGTTGTATAGTTAGTGTAAATATTTAACAAAAGAAAATCCTTGTTTTTAGAACATGTCTTTTAAATATTAAGGTTCTTTCTAAGCAGTGAGGGAATTATTTTGCATATATTCTCTATAAGAAGACAGTACAACTGTTAAGATTTTGTACATAATCTACATTCATACCCTGCATTAGGATATTCTTCTTATGTAAATGACTAACTTCTCAGAGCTTCAGAGGAAGTTCTGAGCTTCCTCATGGGATAATATTAACAGTACTCTTCTCACATAACTATTTTAAAGGTTAATTAATTAACACATGTAAAATACTAAGAGAACTGAACACAAATAAGGACCCGATATGTATTAGCTTATTGCTATACTGTAAAATTGATTTCTGAAATATGGCAAGAGCTCTTTGAGTCTGCATGAGCAATGGGTATCTCTCAGGACAACTAGCACAAGTGCTGCTAGACCAGGGGTGAGAGAAAGCCCTACCACAAGCAGAAGTATGAGCTGGGATGTCCTACTATCAACACTATCGTCGCCCCGGTGCACATAATCAGTGTGCCCAGAGGTAACAAGATACTGGCCCCTGAGGCTGCACAAAGGAGCTTTTTCTGAGGCTCAAAGTGTTGTACACCCAAAACGAGAATCACAGATGTTATCTACAATGCATCCGATAATGAGGAGGTGTGCACCAAGACCCTGGAGAAGAAATGCACCATGCTATTGACAGCACACCCTGCAGACAGTGGTATGAGTATTGCTATACACATGCCCTAGTGCAGCAAGGAGGCCAAGCTGACTCCAGAGGAGGAAGAGATTTTAAACAGAAAGTAATCACAGAAAATTCAGAAGAAATATGATAAAAGGAAAAAGAATGCCAAATCAGCATTAGAGGAGCAGTTCCAGCAGGGCAAGCTTCTTGTGTGCACGGCATCCAGACTGGTCAGTGCGCCGACCAGATTTATGTGTGTTAGAGAGCAAGAGGCTGGAGCTTTATCTGAGGAAAATCAAGGCCCAGAAAGGCAAATACATCTTCCTGTTTTAGCCCATGTAATAAAGGTGTTTACTGTTAATAAATATATTGCGGATAAGGAAAGAGAAATGAAGCCCACAATGAAAATAAGATATTTTATTGAAAGAACTGCTAAACAATGAAGTACTAAATTTTAATTTAATATATGCATTTTTGAAATTAAGTTATATGTTGGGCATTAGAGAATTCACAGATTCATAAGTTCTATTAAAGAGCTCAATTTGAAGAAGTATAGTCCCACAATCACTGAAATTCTTAATTCTTCAAGGAATCTTCTCAGCTGTAAACACTTGAGAAGCTTGTTTCCTGGCCTTAAAAAAATTTTTAAAATTATTAGTTGTAACCAAGAAATAAATTGACTAGAATATGTATTAATTATCATTCTAATATAAAAAATAAAACCTGAAATTATTTTTCAACGTAATAAAAATTGCTAAAGGAAAATTACCTCATACTTATAAAATTAAACATTTTTAGAGCCAAGTTATGAAAAAAACTAAAGGGAATTCGAGATGAAGATAATACAGTAAAATAAAAAAAAAGTCACCTTTTTAGGGAATAAATAGTAAAAACGAAAAAATGTTGGCTCGAAATCAGAAAGACACAGATAAAAACAGAGGGAAGAACTAGGAGATAGGGGTAAAGCAGAGGACCTCCATCGTTATGAACTTAAAAATGTCACAGCAAGGGGCCAGCAGGCAGAGTAGTGGTTAAGGTGCTGGACTCTCACGGGGCCGACCGCAGTTCAAGTCCCAGACCTGGCGGCTTATAACATGCCAGGCACATGTGATTGAATGCCCAATATCCTGAAAGGAAACTGGAGAAGGGATTGCGGCTTGGCCATCCCCTCAAGAGGATGATTTCTCATTTTCTCTCTCTCTGTCTCTCTCCTTGAGCACACACACTCTGTGGGAAAAACAAAACAAAACAAAATAGAGCAAGATGACTATTATATAAATATATATTTTTCATTCAACTGAATTGCTTTAGGAGATATTTACTAAAATAAATCCCTTCACCTAAATAAGTGCTCCAACATCTAGAACAAGGTCTGAAATGAGTAAATACTCAAAATATATCTGTGGTAGAAATGTAACTGGAAGACAGTTGCTATAAAAAAACAAAAAAAAACCCAAAAAACCAAAAAAAACCTCTCTTTCAAAGCCAATCACTGTCTTTGAATAATAGTTGCATGATTATCAAAACATCAGCAGTAACTGGTAAGAACAAATATGAAAAGCAAAATATAAAATGCAGCTGAAATCTATACTTTGGGATATTATAGTTAAAAAGTTGTAAGGCCAGCCCCATAATGCAGTGGTTAAACCCTATTCATAGAATGCTGTATTCCACATGGTCAACCCCAGTTCAAATCCCATCCGTGGTGGCTTGATTCTAGGCCTGTGTGTGTGTATGTGTGTGCATGCTCAAAATCCTGTTGGGATGGGGAAATAGAGTAAAAAGTATTGCAGCATAACTATATCCCATGGAGGTGGGGCGTTTTCTCCCTCTTACTCTGGCAAGCACATGTACTCTCTGACAATAATTTTTAAAAAAAAATTAAGGCTTTAAGTTATTGATGAAAAGAAAATAGATTTTTTTAAAGCTGTAGATTTCCATTTGATAAACTGCAGATTAATCGATGTTATCAATTTTACTTAATTCCCACAGTAAAGCACTGCTACAAAGTCCAGAATGACTATGACATAGAAGGTAAAATAAATTTTTAAATAAAACTGAAAAAAGAGAAACTGTTGAGGGCAATATGCAAAAACAGTAGGTCATGTTAAAGTGGTAAGCTTAAATGTTTTTCATTCCTGAAATGTAGTAATTTTTTCCATAGTAAATGTGAGATGGTTCAAATAAGGGGACTTCAAAAAGTTTGAGGAAAAATGGGATATAAGTACATGTTTATTATGGTGCAAAAAAGAGTTTGAAATCCCTGCACAGTTTTTCATAATACATCTTTTCTATAAAGTTTCTGAAACTCATAAAGAAGCTTAGCAAGCATGAAACCAGGAGGCTTTGCATCCTTACCAAAAAAGTCAATATTGGGCAAGTCTCTAGATGTAAGGTGCCTATGTTTAAATCTTTACTCTGCTGCTTAGTAGCTGTGTAACATTAAAAATAGAATGATTTCTTTGGATCATCATTATCTGGAAAGTGGGCATAGTAACAGGATATAACCTTAAAGAGCTGTTATGTGAATTAAATAAGTTAATATATGGAAAAGTGTTTAGGAAAGCACCTAGCACAGAATAAGCATTATACATCTATTATTTCTATTATAATTATAATCACATTATACTTGACATAATTCCTCTCTACCTGGAAATATTGAACATTGTTAGCCAAGTTATGACTCTTACAGTTAAAGACACAGCTTCTGTCCATGACTCAAAAAAAAAAAAAGGAACATCATCAAATGCAGTGTGGGAAGTAGGTTTTTAGTATTCCAGTGACTCAGTCAGTTTCAGAAAGACAATAGCTAACTGAAATGTTAAGCTAGACTCATGATGGCATCTAACCGTATAACAAAATGGTATCCAATTACTCTCAAAAGATCTCTGCACACCGGTACGCAAACATTTGGTATTTTAAAACACAGTCATGTGCTGTATAATGATGTTTCAGTCAGCAATGGGCCACACATACAATGGTGGTCCCAAAAGATTATAATGGAACTGAAAAACTTGTCTCCTAGTGACATCTCAGCCATGTTAATACAACGTATTACTCATGTTTGTCGTGATGCTCATGTAAAAAAAAAAACCTATGGCATTGCCAGTCATCTAAAAGCATTGCACATGCAATCACATATAGTACATAATATTTGGGAATGTTAACAAATGATTATGTATTGGTTTATGTATATTATACTTTTTGTTTCTGTATTCATGATAGAGCACCTGCAAGTTAGAGAAATAGAGATGAGCACCCTCCACAGGGTCGGGTCTCTCTGTGCACTCCTCCTCCTCCAGTCTACTGGATCTTAGGTACTCACAGCCATGTCTGGTATATTTCAGAATGAACAGGCTGGGGATTCGAACTGCAGTTGCCATATAGGATCCTGAGGCTATTGTATACTCTTAAAGGTATTGTTCCTTTAGAGTATACTCCTTACACCAAAAATAAAACAAACAAACAAGAAAGAAACCCAGTTTCTGTAAAACAGTATGCCATGTTCATGCCAGTAGCAGCCTCATGTGTTTCATGTTTGCCTGTCTCTTGATTGAGTCATTTTTGGCTTCTGTTTAATTTAATTTCCTTTGATTTTGTTTAGCGTAGCCCAGAGTATAAACATTTCACTGCTAATATTCGCAGTAAGAGGCCACATTGAGTGAATAACTTAGTCACTCATTTTACAAGTGAGGTTCATATGACATCATCGCCTAAAGACTCATTTCGTAGCATGATTCCCATCATTAAGTGATACGTGACTGTAATTTAAATAAACCCTTAAATTAATCTGGCCAAATTAATAACAGAGTGACAAAAATGAATGTAATTTTGGCATTTAAGTTATTGCAAAGACATCTTTTAATGTATTATAATTAACCTGAAGAATTTCTTAAACAATCCTTGACTTTATTTACTAACTTATAGGACTGAACAGATGACCCTAATTCCATCTTTCACAGCAAACAATTTTACTACTTGCCCTCATGATCTTGTTATTTTGCATAGTTATTTCTTTCTAGTCTTCTATTCTTCTCTTTAGAGGAAAATAAATCAATGTGAAATACTCAAATAAGGGCATTTTTTTTCTTTAGTTATGGGAGCCAGTGCATTTTCTAGACTTGATATGCTATTACATGTTTTCTGTTCATACTAAGAGGAAGTTTTTCAATTCCTAGAAATTTTCCTATAATAAACCACACATAACAGCAAGAGATAAAGACAAGTGGCAACTCTAATGAAGTTAAATTCTACAACTGTATATAAAATAGAGCCTCAGGAATCACAAGAGTCACATTTTAATAAATAATAATTATAAGATCATTATAGATTAGGTCTCTTTGGATTAAATCATGTTTTCTCAACAAATGTTGTCATTATTAATTACTGACCTGACACCAAAAATTAAATATTACAAAATTAAACATTTTGGGGCTGGCCCTCTTAGCAAATCAGTTAAGTACTATGCAGAGGTCGGATCCCACATGGCTCACTAGGGTTCAAGTTCTGGCCCTGGAGGCTTAAAAAAATATGCTGGTCATATATATGGGTGCCCAGAATTCTAATGGGATGGAGAATAGAAGGAAAAAGGATTGGGGCATGACCAGGTCCCACCTTGAGAGGTGCTTTCTCTCTCTGCCTCTGTGTCTTTCTATCTCTAGCATTTAAAAAACAAACAAACAACAATGAAACATTCTTATAAAACTTTAAGGTAATTAAAAGTCAGTAAGTATCATTTCAAATTTAAAGATACCCATTTCAGAAATTAACTGACATAAAAACAAGTGTCTTTACCAACTTAATGAAAGGGTATTAGGAGATACAAAGAGATAATACAGATTTTAACTAAACATTTTAAGCTTTAAGTTCAACCTAATCAAGTTTCACACAAGTAGATACTTACAATTTTTTCCTCTGGAGAAAGAATACCTTCTATTGCCACTATCTGGTATTGCTTATGTTTTAAATTTCCCGCAGATTTCCGAAGCTGCTTGAGACTGCTAGCCTCTATTTCTGGTTTTAACAATTTCTGCATTTCTTGAGAAGGACATCCAGGATCAAATATCAGTAAACATAAAGTTCTATTTTTTCTCTCTTCAATTCCAACAACTGTTCGACTATGACCTACCAAAAAGATAAAATATCTTTTATCTTTCTATAGCTATACACATACACAGATATTACTATAAATTTTCTTCTTTGTATTCATTGTGAGCATATATGTATCTTTACAATATAGAGTCAGTGTTTCTGACATATATCTTCCTGAGCTCTCTCCTAAGGCATAAGAGTTTAGTTCTACTTCCTAACCTCCTAACCTTCAGGGGTTTTTTGGTTCAATTTTCTTTTTTGGGGGACAGATTTTTTCTATAGGGCGCATGCACTCGCCACAAAGAGAGAGACAGAGAGAAAGCAAGCAAGAAATCACCCTCCCCCCCACGGGGGTGATGGCTACGCCACAATCCCTCCTCCCCCATTCTCTTCTCGGGATCTTGGGCACGCATGTACATGCGCCTGGCATGAGTTTAAGCCACTGGGTTTGGGACTCAAACCGACGTCGACTATATGGGAGTCCAGCAACATAGCCATTACACCAACTGCTGGTCCCTAATTTTCATTTTCTAAAGGTGTCGTTAAAAAAATTCTGCTTCAGAACAGCAGCTTCTAGTGTCACACATTTTACTTTTCCCTTTCTCAATCCCTTCATTCCTCTTATTCAAAATTATTTCAAATAAAAGGAGTTGAAATTTACATATCCTAGAACAGAAACATTCATGATTCTAAAAAGTAAAGAGAAATGAAATCAATCGGGAGGGCTAAATGTATTACAATCTATATTCCTAAACAATGAATTCCTAACACTCACTTCTCTAATCCTATCAAACCAAACCATCTATTAAGTAAAATTCATCAAGCATATACGCCTGCTTTCATGGAGCTTAGATTCTAATAAGTAAACACTCTAAAAACATAAGAAAAAGAAATGTCAGTGGTGGGAAGTTGAGATTACAAATCGTACTTTTAAATAAGTTGAAGTCAGGGAAGGATTGGCTTAACTGACAGAATAAAAACAAGGGTAAAGACCTGAAGAAGGCAAGTGATAAGCCATGATGGAAGAGTGAATCAGACAAAGAAAAAGCAAATGTAAAAGGCCCTTGAATTACCCAAGAATACACTATAATGACAAAGTAGCTCTGAAAATCATAAAAACTACTGTCACAATCCTAACCACCCTCCTCCCGAGGAGGTACATTTAGTACAGTACCTTAACCTGTACTAAAGCAATAGAAAACTTGCTATCTTACAGATAACATTATTATCTGTGAGTTATCCTAACCTTGATGCTGAAGATAGATAGGAGGTTTAGATGTACACACTACTTTTGGACTTCCTTCCCTCTCTGAAGAGTAATAGTTCAATATCCATTCGAATAAGCGAGGGTGTGTACCCAAAGGACCAGTTGACTTGTGAAAATCAACAATACGGCACCTATAAAAAATGGATAAAATTATTTATTTTGAGACTGTTTTAAAAAATATTTTCATCAACAGAGTTATCAAGTACAAATTATTCTTAGTTTAGAACAAATTTAACCTAGCTATTATTTCCCAATGAAGGAAGAAATAAAAATTAAAATTCAACTTGAAACTTGTCCTTTTCTGTGAAGGAAATAATCATTTAAAGTAACAATCCATAGGACCAGCAGAGAGCATAATGGCTATGTCGCTGGGCTCCCACATAGTCAACCACAGTTCGAATCCCAGATGCGGCAGCTTAAACTTCACACCAGGCATGTATGTGTGCATGCCCAAGGCCCCAAAAGGAGAAAGGATTGAGATGTGGCCATCCACCTGGGGGGTGATGTCTCACTTTCTGTCTCTCTGTCTCTGTCTGACAAGCACACGTGCCTTATAGCAAAAATCTCTCTTAAAAAAAAATTCATAATAAGGTTGATGACTGATCTAAAGGTTATATTTTCTGATATATAAAATCACCATGAACTATAAATGATGACCAGTGTGTTTTCTTTTTTTAAAGACAGGGCCTCAGTATGTTGGGTTCCTCCTTTAGCCCCTAAGTAGGTAGGACTATAGCACAGATCACCAACTCTGGTGTTGATAATGTTGTCTGTCTTGGTTACAAACTCCTGATCTTCCTGCCTCAGCCTGCCGAGGAGCGGGGATCACAGGTACACGCCACTGTGCTGGCTTTTAGAGTGGTCCAGAATTGAATCCAGACCTCCCATGTGACCTCAGATTGCTGAGAAGCAGCATCGGTCAGCACCTGCTACAGCAGTAAGGTCCATAGATTTCTGAGTCATATATATAATTTGAGAAACAGTTTTTATTTTAGTTTCTAATCCTGATGACCAATTTGAAGGTAACTTCTCATTTTAATTTCTCAAAAGTCCATTATATATGTAAAAAATATCCTAAATATATTTCCTGTCAATTCTCAAGAATTCCAAAAACAGACAAGAATACAAGATCATATAAAAAAAAAAAATGTGTGAGTAACCGCATCTAAATTTGTCTCCTATATAGATAGCACTATATCATGATGCCATTCTTTCTTGAAGAGGAAGTCACCCTTGAATAAAAAATAATTTTTTAACCAGAAGCCCTATTTTGAAAAGGTCAAGTATAGCCAAAACCATTTGATGGCTTTATTATCATTTTAGACGGCAGTACAAATATCCCATCATTATCTTTCCTGGCAATAAAAACTCTAAAATACCAAAATGTAATAGTTGTTAACCTCAGCCTCAACAAACTTAATGCTAAAAACTTGTAACTGATTACTAAGTTTAAAGTCTAAGTGCTTAAGTAAAATTATGGGTAAATTATATATAAGAACAGTGTTTTGGGGTTAGCATTTTTTTTTAAGGTCTTTGCCACTGGGCATGTGCATGATCCAGAGACAGACAGAGAGGTAAGGCAAAAAATGACCCCCTGGGAAATGGTCATGCCGCAATCTCTTATCCTCCATTCTCCTCTTGAGGCTTTGGGCATTGGGTTAGCATTTGTATGTTTAGATTTAAAATATTGAATAGTACCCTACAGAGTATAACTGATATACTGAGCAAAAGAAAGACATTCAAATAACTAGTAAAAAAATTAAAAGTTTATTAGTAAAAAATGTTTTATTAAATTATTTAAGGCACCAGGAAAGAAACTGTATACAATGACGCATTTTAGGAGGACATTTTCCTTCCCCTGAGGATTACTTAAGGTGGGGCCAGCACATGGCATTAATAGTTACATCGCTGGGCTCCCATGTGGTTGACTGTGATTCGAGTCCCACACCTCATGGCTTAAAAGTCATGCTAGGGGTGTGTGCAGGTATGCCCAAAATCCCAAAAGGAAAATGGAGGAGAAGGGATTATGGCATGGCCATCGCCACAGGTGGAGATGTCTCTTTCTGTCTCTTTCTGTCTCTCCAGCAAGCATACAGTCCTATAGCAAAAAATCTCTCAAAATAAATAAATAAATAAATAAATAATAACTTAAGAGGATGATACATAATCTTAAGGTATAAACAGATTGGCATAAAGAAAAAAGGCAGTAATAAATTTACTGGGCATTAAAATAGTCCTTTAAATTTTCATAATTGAAGAAAGTTACTATGTATACAACATTAGTTTTTCTATTTAAAATATAAGAAATACTTTTACCTCTCAGTCTAATCAATTAGTGCAATAAAAATGATGTGAAAACACTGGTTAAATTACTTAGAAACAAACCTAAAAGGAAACATGAAACTATAAAACTTAAGGTAGGAGCTAGCAGATGGTGTGATGATTAAGGTGCTGGACTCAACAGCTTGAACATCATATGTGCATGCCCAAAATCCCGAAAGAATGGAGGAAAATGGATTGCAGCATGGCCATTCCTCATGGAGGGATGATTTCTTATTTTCCCTCTCTCTGTCTCTGTCTCTCTCTGATGAGCACACACATCCAAAAAACCTTAAAAAAACAAACAAAAAAAGTAAATTTTCCACTGAGGATGATAAAAATCTCTCTATCCCCATTCCCTTTTAAAAGCCCAACACGCTAATACTGAAAGAAAACTGATCTAACAAAGATGAAGTAGGGACAGACAGGAAAATGCTGCATAGTTCTAGAAAATGAAAAGCAGAATAGAGGACTTACAAAAGTGAATGAAAGAAAAGAGACAATATGCCTCAAAAATCACAGAGAGGCTAAAAGCTTAGAGGCATGAGGTACTAAAGAGAACACTAGTGGGGCTGAAAACATGAGCTTATTGAAAGTTTGCTTTGAAGATATATCACCTGCTTCAACTGCCCTCTCTGCCAATGAAGAGCTCTAGGCAGAGAGTGGAAAACTTTTTTCCTGAGTGGTTTCCAAAAACAAAAAAGTCTCTCTATGGGGAACCTGAGAGTTCCCCAACCAGAGAGCAAGCTTCCACCTATGGCTTAAAGTCTGCTACTCTGCAAGTTTCATATAGTTCCACAGTGCTGTGAATTGCTTTTAATGCCTCACTCTTCACTCTTCGAATGGACTACTAAGGCTTTTTGAAAGTTAGAAGAAAGCCTTCAAAGTGGAAAAGACTAAAATAGACTAGAAATAAACTAACACAAAAAACAGAAAAGTGAGAGTAATAGAAAGAAAATACTGGGAAAAAATGTTGTGACCATAAAAGCACATAATGATATAAAATTATCCCTTAAAATTAAAAATATTGTTACCAAAATAAAAGCTTCAATTGAATAGGTGGGAGATAAAGTTGAGTAAATCTAAAAAGTAAAACAAGGACCAGCTGGTGACAAGGTTATGGCAGCTGGATCCCACATGGCTGATGGCACATTTGCGTCCTGGCAGCTTGAAAAACATGGCAGGCACATGTGTGTGCATGCCCAAAATCCCAAGAGGAGAATGGAGGAGAAGGGATGTTTCATGACCATCCCTTCTCGGGGCTGATTTCTCACTTCTGCTCTTGGTCTCTGTCTCTTCTCCAGCAAGCACACATGCCCTATAACAGATTTAAAAAAAAAAAAAAAAAGTAAAATGAAAAGCAAAGATAAAACATAAGAGACATGACAAACCTAGAAAATCAAAGATTTTAATAAGTAACTAATGAAAAGTTCTAGAAAAAAAGTGATCATAATTATCAAATAATAACAGTTAATCTGAATTCTTGCTATGTGCCTGTCATTATTCTAAGCACCTTATCATCTCATTTAATTATCTCTACAACTTTATAAAGTAGCTACTCTTTATGTATCTTCATCAGTAGTGGTATGTCACACTATAGACAAGTCATTCAGCTAATAAGTAGGAAAGCCAGAATCAAACATAGGCAGTTTAATTCTAACATCCAAGCTCTTAACCATCACAGTACCTGACATCTTACAACACTCATTCTCAGACTCAAAGAGACAAAGAAATGCCTGAAACAATGAGTCAAAATCCCAAGTCAACTAGCGACATGGTTGTTAAGGTGGCTGGATCCCACATGGCCAACTGTGCAAATCGAGTCTTGGACCTCGGCGGCTCAAAAAACATGGTAGATGCATGTGAGTATGTGCCCAAAATCTTCACGAGAGAAATGGAGAAGGGGCTGTGTCATGACCACCCCTCATGGGAAGTGCTTTCTCACTCCCCCTCATCTCTCTCCGGGGAGTTCACATGCCTGTAATCTTAAAAAAAAAAAAAAAAAAA